TATATATGTAGGTTGAAATAATCACTAACAGCACAAAGCAATTATTATTCATTAGAACTGTTTGAGGTGAAGATGTAGTTCAGCGGTAGAACAGTAGCCTAGCACGTGTGAGGAGGCCCTAGGTTTGGTCAAAGTAAAAGAATGAAATGAAATGGACTGCCTTTAAGAATTGTCTCATTCTTGGGCCAGGGATTTAGCTGAGTGGTTCCGCCGCCTGCCTTGCAAGTACAAAATCCTGAGTTTGAGCCCCTGTACCAAAAGAAAAAAAAAGTCTCATTCTTGTAAGTGATCATTTTGAGCCCAAACATTTTTGATACATTTAGTGTGCACTGAGCAAGGAGTTGAATTAAATGACTTCAATACTTTCTCACTATCAGATTTTATCAATTAGACACAGCTGTCAAAACAGTCCCTTGATTAAATATGTTTAGGCATCTGAAAGAGGCCTTTGCCATCCACCAGTTCTAGAATTTTAAGTCTTACTTCTAAGCATTCTCCCCACTTTCATATTCCACGAGTAAAATAGAAAAAATAAAAAATTCTAAATAAAAATGTTTCTTTTCTTTTTGGTATGGGGAATTGAACTCAGGGCCTTTTGCTTGCCAGGCAGGTGCTGCACCGCTGAGCTGTATCTCCGGCCCTAAGTAGAAATGTTTCTTAATGACCTTTCAGGTAAGATAGCCTAGCTTTTTTGGGGGAGTGTCGAACTCAGGTCCTTGTGCTTTCAAGGCAGGCGGTGGAACCACTGAGCTAAATCCCCAGCCCAAGATTTCCTACCTTTTGAGGAGTACTATATCTTTTGTTCTGGGATTAAGATTCAGGCATAACCAAGATACATCATGCAAAGGTACAAGATCCCAATGATGCATGTAAATATACTGCATAGCTAAAAAGTGCCAGTAAACTCAATGAAAAAAAAAAAAAAGATTCACCATTTGCTTCAACTTGGGCCAAAAAAAAGGATATACTGTGCTTCTTCATCTAACAGAGAAAATACCAAATAGGAAGAGGAGGGAATATATACACTCACCCCTGCTGACTGAAAACTTCTTTGTGTGATCACAACAATTCATTCAGGTTCCCATACATTCACAAGGAAGAGCGCTCCACCTCCCTCACCATCAAAGGTCCCCCGTCCATCACAGAATAACACACTTGACAATCCTCATCTTTAGAAACACAGGACCAGACAACCGCCATGACAGACACGGAAGTATGGATTCAAACAAATAAATATTACACATTCGGGAGGCAGTGCCAGCAATTCCAAGAAAGAGGATAACAGGGCCAGGGATTTAGCTCAGTGGTTCGGTGGCCTGCCTCGCAAGCGCAAGGACCTGAGTTCGATCCCCGGTACCACACACACAAAAAAGAGGATACCAGCTGGGGATTTAGTTTAGTGGTTCCACCTCCCGCCTCACAAGTAAGGGTAAGGACCTGAATTCGATCCCTGGTACCAAAAAAAAAAAAAAAAAAAAAAAAAAAAAAGAAGACACCGCAATAGATGGAAGCCACTAAATGAGATGGGCAAGCCAGGGTCCTGTCTGCTTTCAGGCCAAGAAAGCACATCATTCCAAATATACATTCATAGCTGGGCAAGACAGAGCACACCTGTAATCCCAGCTCCTCTAGAGGCTGAGGCTGGAGGGTCACTACTACACACAGTAGTGAGTTCAAAGCCAACCTAAACTATATAGTGAGACCTTGTCTCAAAACACAAACAACCAAAAAAACACATAAAAACAGGGTCAGGGGTTAGCTCAGTGGCAGCACGCCTGTCTCTCAACACAAGTTCTTGAGTTTGTTTTCATTTTTGTGTTTTTGGTACGGGGGATTGAACTGGGGTCCTTGTGCTTGTGAGGCAGGCAGCAGAACCACTGTGCTAGATCCCCAGCCCCAAGGTCTTGAATTTGATCTCCAGTACCAAAAAAAAAAAAAAAGAAAAAAAATCCAAACATATTAATAGTCATAACATGTTCAAATCTTGCATAGCTACCAAGATATAGTAACAACAATAAAAAAGTCACTATCTAGAAGAGTAAACAAACACGTAAAGAAGCTACTAATACCAAATGACAAGCCATACTTCAAGGAAAGCAAAAGAGGATGCCGTCCCGGTCTTCACACAGTCACATCCACATCACTTGGAGGGTTTCTAGTTTTGCTTTTTGGCGATACCAGGGATGCAAGCTAGGGGCGGTCGGTCTGCCGCTGAGTCACATCCTCATCCCCTCCTGACTCGAGGGGATCCTCTTGCCTCAGCCTCCCGAGTGCTGGGGTTACTGGTGTGCGACACCACACCCGAACTTACATCTTTTTGAGACAGGACTCTGCGATAAACTGCCCAGGCTAGGCTCAAACTTGGGATTCTTCTGCCTTAGCCTCTAGAGTAGCTAGGATTACAGGCGCGTACTGCCGTGCTTGACATGAGTCTTCAATTTGTACTCTCCAAGGTGCTTGCCCGAATTACCTTACCTGATTTCACCCTTACAACATCTTAGATAACGCAGATAAATCATCTTTTACATATATGAAAAGTTAAAGTCAAAAATTAATTAGTCCAAAACAACGCGCCACCCCCACCCAGCCTCTTCCCGTCATATTTATGCCCAATCTTCAAAAATCCCAAGCATAGCCAACCTCACACTGGGTATATTTTCTTGGCTAAGTTAAACATTATAAAACTCAGGATCCCATCTGCAATAAAATATGGGAGGATTTGAAAGGAAAACCAGAAAGGTGTTCCTTACAAAAAGTGCAACAGAATGCCAGAAACGTAGTGAGTGTGCGAAGGAAATTTTTGCTACTATTGTTAACAAACACAGGTGAGGATTTTCCGTTACAACTCTCCCCAGTGACAATCTCTCCGGAACTTGCACTACCCCTCACCCGCCTCACCCCTGACCTCTTCCCACGGGCACGCCCCCAGACGGACCCAGCACCCCTGCCCCTCCCCACGGAATCCCCCACTCCCTCGAACCTTACCCCTAGTAGGTTCTACCCGCTCAGACTCGTTTACGAAGGACTTCCGCTCGCATTCGCCCCTTCAGCACCCGGGTTAGGCCTGGGCATCCCTGCGGGAACCAAAGCAGTACATCAGCCGCGGGCCCGCGCCGGTTACCTGGCCGCGCGCTCCCCCGGGTCGCACGTCGCCGCGGGCCAGCTCCAGCACTAGCAAAACGCAATTAGTTTAAACTACGGCCCCGCCCCCTCGCGCTAGCCTGTGATTGGCCCCTGTCGGCTGCTGTCGTTCGCATGTTATGCTGGAGGACCCGGGAAAAGGAAGTGAGGGCCACTGGGAAGGGAGGAGGGCTGTCGCTATTTCCGGACCCGGCTTGGACTTCTGGGCCAAGGGAACTGCAATTCCCAGCACGCACCGCGGCCTACAGGTCCCGGTAGGCTTCGGGGCTGCGTTTAGGGCTCCGGCTCCGACGTGGTGACGAATGTAGTTGCTATGGCGTTGCTCAGAGTATCACCAAAGTAGTGGGACGCGGAGGCTGCAAGGGAGGCTACTGCGGGTGAGTCGAAGGGAAAACAGGAAACCCACTCTCTGGCACAAGAGTTCTATGGAGAGGGGAGGTGCTCCACCGAAAGACTAAGAACGTCCCTGATGGCCCGCTTACTATCCGAAAGTTCTTCCAGGTTTTTTCCCATCTCAAGTCTATATCCTCTTCTTGGGTACTCAGTGACACCCACAACTTAATTTGCCACCTGTGTGCAGATTTACACAGATATGTATCTACAGCCCTGCCCTCCTAAGTTGCAGATCTATATAACCAGTTGGCTCTTGGGTATCTCCTTTGGAATATCGCAAAGGCAACCCATTTTCAACATATCTGTGTGTACCCCCAGCCCTCTCTTCTAAGCCTGGATGTCTTCTGTGGTTCCTACACAATATACACAAACAAAGTCCAAGAGTAATCCTTAATACCCCTTCCGTTTTTTATCTGTCATGAGTTCCTGCAGGGTTTATTTAGTGTGTGTGGTTTTTTTGTTGGTTGGTTGGTTGGTTTTTGAGACAAGGACTGGCTATGCAGTTCAGGTTGACCTTGAATTTACTGTGTGGCACAGCCTGGCCTCGAACTCGTGGCGATCCTCTTGCCTCAGCTTCCAAAGAGCTGGGACTATAGGTGTGCACCACTACCCTAGACTCCTAAATTTTTTATCTAGTCTGGAGTACCTCACATCCTTCCTGCCTTTCCTCTCAGCCATTTTGCATACTGCAGACCGATGAATCCTTCAAAATGGAAATCTGAAATTGTTTATTCTCCCCACTCCCACTTAAATATATACAGTACTTTGGGTCTTCCTGTTCCTCTTAGCATAAAGCAACGTCTTAAGGTGGCTCCTGCCACCTCTCCAGCCTTCACTCTGATTATACATACTTTCCTCCTCCGGTTATAGTCCCCCTTTAAGTTCCTCATAGTTTTTTTGGGGGGGTGTGGTGGAACTGTAGTCAGGGTCTTGCTACGCAGTTCAGACTGTCCTTGAATTCACTATGTAGCCCAGGCTGGCCTCAAACTCATCAGTCCTCCTGTGTCAGCCTCCCAAGTGCTGGGAGTACAGGTATGCACCACCTTGCACAGTTTAAAGTCCAAAGTTTCCAGAAACCCTCCCACCACAGCCTTGGGAGTTTGGTTTGGTTTGTTTTTTGAGTTTTTTTGTTTTTTTTTTTTTTTTTGAGACAGAGTATCCTTGTGTAGTTCACAGTGGCCTTGCATTCACTATGTAGCCCAGGCTGACCTAGAACTTGCAGTGGGTCCTCCTGCCTCAGCCTCCCAAGTACTGGGATAGTAGCCGTATGCTACAACACTTAGCCCACTTACAGCCTTTGCACACAGCTATTACTTCGGCCTTATTTGCTCATCTTTTAAATTTTCAAAAATTTGTGTGTGTGTGTGCATGCACCGTTGTGCACACATGCCCTAGGAATCAAACTCAAGGCCTCAAATATGGTAAGCATATGCTCTGTCACTGAGACACACACACACACACACACACACACACACACACACACGCACAGAGTCCCTGTACTTACCCTTCAGATATCTCTGAGTCACCAATTCAGGAGTAAGCAAGTCAGATCCCTCAGTTATAGCAAGCTCTTCTTCTTTTTTCTTTTTTTGGTACTGGAGATCAAACTCAGGTCCTTGTGCTTGCAAGGCAGGCAGGAAAACCACTGAGCTGTATCCCCGGCCCAAAAGTTTTTAATAAATGTAGTGTTTCTGAAACTTTTTTGTTTCATTTTGTTTTTTGGTACCAGGGATCGATCTCAGGTCCTTGTGCTTGCAAGGCAGGCGGCAGAACCACTGAGCTAAATCCCTAGCCGCAGCCTCTTCTTTGTAGGTCTATTCAGTTGCAATTTTTTAGGTATTTAGTAAATCCTACTACTTCCCACCATGTACAACTGCTAGTAAAAACTAGTGGGATTTATGGTCATAACAGACAACAAACAGAAAATTACAATGTTTTAAATGTTACCAGTGTAGTGTACTATAGAAGCCAGGGCTTACACATGCAGATTTGCAGATAAGGGAAGGCTTCTCAGGAAAGTTAGTGCTGAGTTCTGAAGTAAGAATTGGCAAGGAAAAAGGAGGAAGAAACTATATTATTCCAAGCAGAAAGAGCTGGAATGGAAGAGTATTCCATTCAAAGTCCCAGAGGCAGGGGTAGACAACTTAACTGAGCTGTTGCATTTGGCTGGACTACAAAAGTAGAAATAAAGTCAGACTAACTGCTGTTATTGCAGCACTCTAAGAGGCTAAGGCAAGAAGATTCCAAATTTCAACCCAGCCTGGGCAACTTAGCGAGATCCTGTCTCAAAATAAAAACGGTTGAGGATGCAAAGGCCCTGGGTTCAATCCCCAATACCATCAAAAAAAATTTTTTTTGCTAATTTGGAAAATTTCCTGCTGGGCATGGTAGCATACACCTGTACTTCCAGCACTTGGGAGGCAAAGGCACGAAGATTGTCGTAGTTTGAGACTGTAGTAGTTTGAGATTGTAGTAGTTGAGACTGACCTGGAACTCACTCTGTAGCCCAGGCTGGTCTCAAACTCAAAGCAATCCTCCTGCCTCAGCCTCCCAAATGCTGGGATTACAGGTGTGTGCCACCACACCCAGCTTTTTTTTTTTTTTTTTTTTTTTTTTTTTTTTTGGTACCAGGGATTGAATTTGGGACCTTGTGCTTGCAAGACAAGCAGGAGAACCACTGAGTTAAATCCCCAGCCCTATGAGACTCTATCTTAAAAAAAAAATCCAATTCAAAACAGAACAAGTATGTCCCTAGCCCTGTCATTTGCTAAGTGAGTCAGTCCGGTCAGGTGAATTTACTGGAATCTGACTGTCTCCGGGTTATGTGCCCCAAGAGCAGGGAAAGACTTAACTCCACACACGGTCACAGAACTGCAGCGTCCCAGCTTTGTCAAGTCCCCCCAGAAGTCAAGCCCTTTGCCTGACACCTTAAAGACTCTATTTATTATTTTCCTTTTGGTTTTTGGTTTGGTTTTTTGATACGGTCTCCCTGTGTAGTGTAGGCAGGCCTTGAACTATGTAGCCCAGGCTGGCCTCGAATTTGCAGTGTCTCTACATACAGACCAATTTTGCTTCAGCTTTCCAAGTGCTGTGTTTTCAGGGTGTGCCATCATGCCTGGCTTACAGACCCCATTTATTCCTCTATTTCTTCATTCTTCCATGTATCCATTTGCCCATCAAACCATTAGTGAATACCCAGTCTTCGCCAAGCTCAGTGAAGAGTAATTGGAGAAGCAGAGAAAGAAATCTGACTTGTCTCTGCCCTCAAATTTATAGGGAGGAAACAGAAAACAGCATAAAGAAATAAGCACAGAGAATACATCTGCTTCCATTTATTCCAAGGGAGGATTTGACTTCATTTCACAGGTGAAATAATAGGCTGTAATGAAATTCTGTCCAAAGTACAAGGGTGCAAGCATGAGTTAGCTATTGCTGTGTGACAAATAATCCCTCTAAAGAGAGTGGCTTAAAACAATAAGCATTTATCCTGGGCCAGGGATTTAGCTCAGTGGCAGCATTTATCTCTACTTCCTCACTTCTAAGTAGGGATAAGTGTTTATCCTTACCTCTGAGTTAGCTGGACAGTTTTTCTGGCCGTGGCTGAGCTCACTGATACACTTGTAGCCTTCTAAGTGCTGGACAACTCTCATCTTGCTTAGGGATGGGCTCAGCACATCTATCACCTTCCCCCAGCAGGCCAGCATGTTCTCCTCTCAGGGCTCTGGCAGGGAGCAAGACAGCAATCCCCCTTTAAAGCTTCTGTTTGCTGTGTGCTTCTCAACATCCCACTGGGCAGAACAAGTTACACTGCTGTGCCCAGCACCAGAGAGGGATGGAACTACAAAGTCAAAGGGCAAAAAGGGAACAGATACACAAAGAGGGATCATCAAAGCAATCAGTCTAACATGGGACACGCTGACGACTTTTATCTGGAAAAGAGAGGCTTTGCAGAAGAAGGTTCATCACAGCTGAGTGTTGAAACGTGAGAGTATTCAGTAAGAAGGCAGCTGTTACTTGGAACCGGAGGCGGGCATGTTTGCCACGATCAGTAGAAATCAGTAGCAGGTCTTTCTGTGCTTGTAAGAGGGTTCTATCGTTTGTATCTTGGCTTCATTCCTTTTGGTCAGGCACAGGGCAGCAGACACTCAACAAATGTTTGCAGAACTGAATTGATATCTTACTGTGAATGAAGTGTGGAATGAAACAGCTGAACCTGGGATAAAGTTGTTAGAACAACTTTGCATCGGCTCTCCCAAAATAGAAACCCTTGTATTGGGCAGCTTCTCATTCATTCATCCCACAAACATTTCCCAAGTGCCTGTTGTAAACTAGGTCATGTGTAAGATGATAAATAAGACATGGTACTGGCTCACAGCCTGGGTCACTGTTTTATTGGAGAAGGTTAATATCCATTCCATGAGAAAATTTATCAGGCCTCTTCTATTTTTAGTACTGACTCAGAAAACCTATCAGGAGCTGGTACTACACAAAATGAGCTCTTAAGAACTGCACTGAAGGGCTGGGTATTTGGCTCAGTGGTTCCGCCGCCTACCTTGCAAGCTCAAGAGCCTGAGTTTGAATGCCGGTACCAAAAAGAAAAGAAAAAAAGGAACTGCACTGAAGTTTTCTCATCGCCAAGGAGATCAACAGTAAAAAAATCTGCCTTTCAGTGTTTTAAGCTGAAGTCCATGTTCAGTGGTACAGAACTCTAGGATTTCAACCTAGGACTTTGTTTGAGAAAAGTAGTCAGGCATCAAACTTGTTTTAGGTTCTGCAATGTTTAGATTTATATCTCAGCTAGGTTCCTCTATTTGTACAAAAAAATATATGCTGTTGACTGAGACAAATTCCAGGTATGGTTGTGCATACCTGTAATTCTGTACTTGGGAGGCTGAGGAAGAAGAATCATGAATTCAAGGCCAACCTGAGCTACATAATGAGACCCTGTCTCAAACAAAGAACCAGAGCCGGGTGTAATAGTGCCTGCTTGTAATCCCAGCACTTGGAGAGGCTGTGACAGGAGGATCATGAGTTCAAGCCCAGCCTGGGCAACTTATCAATTTGGTAAGACCCTGTCTCAAAATAAAAAATCCTAAAAGGGCTGGGGATGTAGCTTAGTGCAAAGGCCCTGAATTGAATCCCCAGTACCACAAAAATAAGTCGTATTTGCCAATTTCAACGGCTCTACATACACACTTTTGTTTATTTTTTTGGTATTGGGGATCGAACTTGGGTCCTTGTGCTTGTGAGGCAGGTGGCAGAACTTCTGAGCTAAATCCCCGGCCCATATAGACTAATTTTGAATCCAGTGATGAGCACCACTTATTCCAAGGTTTCCCTTTTTGCTTTGGCTATCAGGAATTTCATCGCTAAATACAAGCATAGATTCCTAAAGTCTCTGAAATATCCTTTCCTTTAATCTCATTTCTGCAACTGCAACATCCATGTGGTAGTCAACTAAGCACCTGATTGGTAGCTTAATCCAAATTTTAAGTGTAAAATTTCTCAGTAATTTCTAATATTAATGTTAAATATTTCAGATATATTAGGTTAAATAAAATATATTAACTTTACTTGTTTCATTTTACCTTCACTATTGTTCCTAGAAAATTTCCATTACATAAACAGATGTGATGGCACATGCCTGTAATCCCAGCAGTTGGGAGCGAAGGCAAGAGGATCACCATGAATTTGAGGCCAGCCTGGGCTACATAGCAAGACCTTGTCTCAAAAGGAAAAGAAATAAAAGCAAAAAAAAAACAAAAAAAATGAAATTCCATTACATGTCAAAACTATTATATAAGGCTTATGACAGCCGTGTTTTACAGAATATCCAGTTGGATGAGTGTATAATTATGCTAACCCTCATCATTTTTGGAGAACAAGTGAAATAATAATGCGTACAACAGCAGATGAAAGGAAAAGGATGGTTGATTCAGTGTCTACTTGTTTTTGAGACAGGGTCTTGCTATGTAGTTGAGGCTGGCCTCTAACCTCAGCTCATCTCAAACTCAGTGATCCTCCTGCCTCAGCCTCCTAAGGACTAGGACTTCAGGTATGCACCACCACACCTGGCTGTTTGTTTGTTTGTTGATACAGGGTCTGTTTTTCCAGGCTGGTCTCAGCCTCCTGTCAGGGCAATTTGTCTTTTGTTTATGTGATTTACATGCTAAAAACTCGGCAAAGTGGTTTCAGTTATGTTCATCCCAGGTGAGTAGTATTCTACAACTCTCCCTAGTCTCCAGGAAAAACCTGTTCTCAGCTTTACATCAGCTAACAAATTGGAATCTGATAGGACAGTTCACACCACATTGCAGATGACTGATAACAACTTTGTGTTCGCCTGTCTCAGAGATTATTTCCATTTAACAGGGAAAAATCCCTGAACCCAAAGGAATGAATCCCTAATGGTGGAGTTTCAGGAATCACTGACAGGTGAGTGAGAGGCAGACTCTTGTTTTGTGTGTGTTTATTGTCTACGGAGCTACTTTCAGGAAGAGGCTGAAAGTAGGGTCTTCGGAAGGAAAGGAAATGAAGCTGATGGACAAGGTGGGCACACATGGCAGCATATCCCCAGCTGGGTCAGGCTGCAGTGAGCTCTCAGACACCAACAGGATCCAGTGCAGCATCTCAAGGGTTCGTTAAGCAACAGAGTAGCCCAGCTGATGTCACCAGAGTAGGTATGAAGATGGTCTCCATGGTAACTACTGTGGAGTAGCAGAAAAGCTCAGAGGATTCAGGAAACTCTTTGACTGCAGTCTGCACCTGACTTACTCCACTGGCTTAACTCTGGGCAAGTCCTTTATCCCTTGGGTCTCAGTTTGATATGAATGTGCTCTGAGGAAGAGAAAGAGCCCTACAAATGCAAGCAGTAATGATTAATATCTTAGCTGGGCATGGTGGCACAAGCCTGTAATCCCAGCACTTAGGTGGCTGAGACAAGGAGGATCTTTTTGAGTTTTAGGACAGCCTGGGCTACACAAAGGGTTCAAGGCCAGCCTGGACTGCATAGCGAGACCCTGTCTCAAAAAAAAGTATCTTAAGATGGAAGTGCACTTAGGCAGGCCTAAAGTAGCAGAGGGATAAAAAGTAGAGATGGAGGGCTGTGGGGAAGTGGGGGTGGATGGCCCTGGTACCTGGAAAACCCAATGTTCTCTCCTCCTAGGCTGCACCCAGACTCCCAGGGCTGGTGCTTGCAGATGACGAATGATGGCCTGAACTATGAGCAGGCAAGGCTACGTGAACTCTTCGGTGCAGGAGCCCCCTCTTGACTACTCTTTCAGAAGCATTCATGTCATTCAAGGTCAGCCCTTTCCTTGCCTTCTGCTCACAGGGCAAGAGGCCCAGTGTGGTCCCTAGGAAAAAACCATACTCTTCTACCTAAAAGCCTCAAGTGACTCCTCCTATACATTTGCAGATTTGTTGTCATTGGGGTAGAAGTGAGGAGTAAGAGGTGTTTTTCTGGTGCTTCAAACCCAGAACCTTGCACGTCCTAGGCAAGTTCCACTGAGCTACATCTCCAACCCAGAAATTTTTTGTTTGGTTTGTTCATTTTTTAACAGCAAAATGAAAGGAACCGGGGGCCTCTTGGAGTAGGTGACCATCTTCAAAAGAAGCCAAGCAGCAGGGCATGGTGGCACACGCCCATAATTTTAGCACTTGGGGTAAGGAGGATCACCCCAAGTTTGAGGCCAGCCTATGCTACATAATGAGTTCAAGGCCAACCCAACTACATAGTGAGACCTTGTCTCAAACACCGAAAACAGAACAAAAAATTATGTAAAGGGCTGGGAAATATAGCTCAATGCAAAAGTCCTGGGCTCAACCTCCAGCGCCCCCCCCCCAAAAAAAGAAACCAGGTAGCTGGGTATGAGAACAGCACATGACTACAATCCCAGCTACTTGGGAAGCTGAGGCAAGAGGATCACAAGTATGAAGCCAGTTTGAGCAACCTAGGGAGACCATCTCAAAATAAAAACAGCTGCGTATGTAGCATTCCCTGAAGTCAATCTCCAGTGCAAACTGGGACAACAATCTACCAGCCAGTAGTTTTTTATTCTCTTGTTTTTACCTGAAAAGAGGGGGAAACTAGTGAGTAAAAACTACAGGCTACTGCAGAATACCAACAAACAGGCAGAACTATCTCCTCAGTCTGGGAATACAAGTCTGTTCTGATCACTGGTGAAACATGAGAGAGCTTATTACTGACAAGCTAGCGTGTTTCCAGTTTACTTACTGACATATTTCTGACATGCATTCCAGCCATGCAGGTTCTAACACTGCCCACACTCACTCCTGTTTTACCAGTGTCTTCATAAATGGGCACCTAACCCAGCTTCTGCCACTCCTGGCTTTTGTTAACCATCCATCACAGAATACGTGTTCACACCCACTGTCCTCGACTCATTACTGGGCTTTGGTCTTCTCTGTTGGGCAGCAGTAGCTACTTGTAAGCACAGGAAGCTGAGGAATACCACTGGCCTTGGCTTGGGTTTAAGACACTACTTGGGTTAGCATCAGCCATGGTTTAATTCTCATCTGATGTCTCCCTAGCACACACCCACCTACCATGATCTTTGTTGTACACTGCATCATTTCTGATTGATGTAGTCCACATTTCACAGGTTTAGATACAATAATAGGTATGTGCAAGATGGCTGAAGTGACAAGTGCAGGGGAAGTAGAGAGAGCTCATTATCATGGGAATTCCCAGCTCTGAAGGAGATGTAGCTCTTCCCTCTGGACTCCTCAGAATGACTGACAAGCTCCTACTACCAGGGTTGTGTCTACCACATAAACCAGAATGTGTACACAGGCCATCAATACTTCATTCAATACTTCAGTACTTACTGAGCACCTATTTATCAAGCACTGATGTACAGATGTATACATGTATACATGCACACATAGAGACATGGTGCTCCTCGCTACGTGTGTTAGGGGATGGGAAAGAGAGGTATATCAAAGTCTCCACAGGCCGGAGTCCCTTCAGTTTCCCAGAGCTTTGGAAACACATCACTGGAATTAAAGGACAGGGTAGAATTTTGGGGTTCTTGGGACACTATTTGCTGAATTAGTCAAGATAGATCATATATGAAATGGTGGTGACTTTAGAAAGCATCTGATTTATACCACTTGATAAGGCAAAAGCTTGGAGAATGTCACCAAGCATGGACTAATCCCATGTTTAACCACAGTCCCCTAACTTGTACTCATGAACCTAGAGTTAAGGGTTTCCCCCATCATACACACCAACTTCTATTACGGAGTCGATGACAGGAGATTCTTCCAATCAAACTGACTTCTGCCTCTGGGAACACATGGGAAAAGCTGCATGGCAGCCCTTCAGAGATGAGAAGACAGGATGGTTTCTCCCGGTCCTTCTGAAACTTTCTAGTTCTATGACTACTGATATTTGTGTCCAATTTCGAATCCTGTCTTGACCAGTTACTTTTTCCCAGTAGTACTGGGAATTGAACCCAGAGCCTAAACCCAGGGCCTTTTCACTGAGCTACATTTGTACCCCTTTATTTGAGACAGGGTCTAAGTTGCCTCGTCTTGGCTTAAACTTGTGATCCTCCTGCTTCAGCATCCCGAAGTGTTGGGATTATAAGCACGTGCCACTTCACCCAGCTTTTGAACAAGGAAGCTTTTAAGACCTCCTTAGATCATCTAGTACTTTGGTGGACTCTGAAAGGACCAAGCTATAGCAGTCTGGACACCGCTGTCCAACCCTGTTTGCTAACAGCAGCTTCACATTTCAGGCAAATCCATTGATCCAGTGGATCCCAGTTTGGGATCAGCCCATGTTTAGTGTCATCCCAAGCTTCTCTGCCTCCCCAGACTGGACGCTAGCTCATGTATTATTTTGATCTTAGTTTTTATTCTTCTGAGGGTTGTCAGGAGGCATGGGGAGGGAGACAAGCTTAGGACTCTGTTCATGCGCAGTGGTCCTCTGCACTAGTGGGTCCTGTTCAATCTAGAACTGAGGCAGAGAGCCATCTGGTGGATGCTGCCTGCCCTGCAGCTTTGGAGGAGAGGTTAATGTGTGTCCAGTAGAGAACTGAAGGGAGGGACTGGTGAAGACAGCCTGGCCAGGTTTGGCAAATACTAAATACTTCTTTCCCCAGAAGCACCCTTTGACTAGTAAGCATAGGTTTAATATCACTGGGAAAATATAATCACCCAGCCAGATCTGGTGCCTGGTTCTAGCTCTGCTACTAATTGGGAGGTTAGGCTATTTGTGTTTGTTTTGTGCGGTACCAGGAATGGATCTCAGGACCTTGCATTTGTCAGGCTGGATGGACCTCAGACCTTGCACTTTTGAGGCTGGTGCAGGGCCACTGAGCTAAATCCCTGGCTCTGGGCTGTTTTTAAAAAGCAGCAGGGGAAGGGTTCTTGCATATATGTCTCTTCAGCCAAACTTTCAGAGGTGGTCGCTACCTGATTGTACTTTACCTTTCCACTCACTGTGGAACTTACTCCAATCTGTTTTCTAATCAAGGTTACCAAGGACTTCACAGCTACCAAAGTTATTTTCCAGTCCTCACCTCTCTAAAACTTAATCCTATAAACTTTTATTATTTTGAGACAGATCTCATTAAGTAGTTCAGGTTGGCCTTGGACTCAGTGATCCTCCTGCTTCTGCTTGCTGAGTGCTGGAATTACAGGCGGGTGTTTTGTTTTTGTTTTTTGGAGACCGGATCTATGTAGTTCAGACTAGCACTGAACTACGTAGCCTATGCTGGCCTTGAACATGTGTCAATCCTACCTCAGCCTCCAGAGTGCTGGGGTTACAGGCATGTGTCACCAGACCTAGCACTCCCCAAACACTCTTCAAGCTATTTTCTCTTGGTTCTTCCCGTCCTTCCCTTATTACTTATTTTCTTTTAGAGTTTTTGTTTTTTTTTTTTTTTCTTTTTGAGATGGGGTCTTGCTATATAGTTCAAGCTGGCCTTGAACTCGCTGTGTAGCCCAGGCTGGCCTCGAATTTGTGGCCATCTTCCTGCCTCAGCCTCTAGAGTGCTGGGATTACAGGCATGCACCACCGTGCCTAGCCGTCATTATTTTCTTTAATGGACATCTTACTCTTTGACCCATATATACCCTCACTCTAAGAAATCTCATGTTTCCCTAATTTGTACATCCCACATTAATGATTCTCATGTCTGTCTCTGGAACTTTGGGTTTCCATATCTAGCTGCCTACTTGGCTTGTCTACTTTTCCATACTACAGGAAACTACTGAAAGACACACCAAAGCCAAGCCTGAACTCATCACTTTACCAACCTACTCTCTCCTTTGTAATTGTTATAATCTTTCCAGTCACTCAAGCAAAAACACTGGGAACCACCCTTGAATATTCTTCTACCCTTCCACCCTGGAATATTCATTCAAGTCATGCTGCTTGTATAACCCTCTCATCTCTTGCTTGGATGACTAAAATAGCCAAGCTGGTCTTCTGGTCCCACCTACCCACACAGAAGCTTCAAAGTGATCTTTCAAGTGGAAACTCTGAATCATTTCCTTTGCTTTAAACATACTGGTCGCTTCCCATCACCTATAGGATAAAGCCTGAGGTCCTTAGCCTGGCATTTAAGACAAATGACTGCTCCTGTCTTTTTCTTTGTTCGCTTGGGCAGTATGCACACACCCATGCTGTTTTAGAACTCTGTGCCTTTGCTTATCCTTTCCGGAACTCTTTGCTTAGTTCACATCTTCTTGGTTCAAGCCTAACAACTCTGGTTTTTAGTTTCCTTATCTATAAAATGGGAGTGGGCTTGCTTCACCTTCATTCCCACAAGAGTGGTATGTGGAGGACTCCAGGACATAACAGACATGAGACCACCTGATGTGGAAAGCCAAGAGTATAAGATGGAAAGTCTTTGACTTTCAGTCCAAGCTTACTCTGACTGCTGCAGCTTGTAGGACAGGGTTGCACTAGATGCAAGCACAGTGCTGTGGACCCATCCGCTCCTCTAGCCACAGCTTGGGATAATCATCTTCCCAGCTCTGTTCCTGCCCACTCCCTAAAGCCAGAAAAGCAAAGATGACATACCCAAGCCTCACTTTGTCCTCACAGATCTGGTTAGTGAGGAGCCAAGGTCAGGGCTACGACCACTGAAGCATTCAAAGTCGGGGAAGTCAGTGACCCAGTCCCTGTGGCTCAACAACAATGTCCTCAGTGACCTGAGAGATTTCAACCAGGTGGTTTCACAGCTGCTGGAGCATCCAGAGAACCTGGCCTGGATTGACCTGTCCTTCAATGACCTGACTTCTATTGATCCTGTGAGTTCCTAGCCCTAGGACTCAGGGGCTGGGCTGAAACTACTCTGGCCTCTCCGCTGCCATGTGTTATCAAGAGTAGAGGGTCCAGCCAGGCGTGGTGGCACACGACTGTAATCCCAGCACTCCGGAGGCTGAGGCAGGAGGATCACTGTGAGTTTGAGACCAGTCTGGGCTACATAGTGAGTTCCAGGTCAGTCTCAACTACATATTAAGACCCTGTCTCAACCACCCCCCACCACCAAAAGAATAGAGGGTCAGCATGGTGCAGTCCAAGGCACATAACTATGGGGGGCACAAAGATAGAGATTCAGATCCCGAGTGTGACTCTTAGGGTAACCTCTCAAAATCTCAGCCTCAGGCAGGCATGGTGGTGAACACCTGTAATCCCAGCACTCTGGGTGGCTGTAGCAAGAGGTTTGCAAGTTTTGAGCCCTACCTGGGCAACTCAGTGACTTAGAGAGACTGTTTCAAAAATGAAGAAAAGGTCTAGAAATGTAGCTCAGTCCAAAGGCCCTGGGTTCAATTCTCCCTACTGCAAACCAAACCATACCATCTTGCCCTACCCTATCTGAAAAATGAAGATAATATGCCAGCATCATAAAGGTTTTGTAAGGATTAAGTGAAAATAATACAACAATCAAATGGTACATCAAAAGCAGAAGCAGAACTGCGGTATTGTTGGTACCCAGTGTCTTGTGCTGAGTTCTGCTGTGGAAGAGGTAGGTAGAAAAGTACACTACTTAACTTGCTGAGAATGATTCAAGTTTTAAGAAATAAACAAAATGTGGCCCCTTCTTGCCAGAATCCCTGTTGGTGGGAAAAGGGGCTGAGGCATGACTTGGAGACTGTTCCCCTGGTATAGTAACCTTACTTCAAGTATTTTAGAAACTTTACTTTTGTGCTTGGCATGATACTGTATTCCTGTCTCCTGCTATCACCAAAGCTTCCATCACAGTGAGAGGGTAAGTTAGGCTCAGGGAGATGCAAGCAGGAGAACCATGACCTGGCTACTCAGTGGCAGTGCTGGGACTCAGGGCCCATACCTCCTGCCTATCAGGTCAGTTCTATTTCAGTGTGATGGCCCTGTGTCCCTTAAAAGTAAACACAAGTGTAGAGTCACCCACTAAGGCTGTGAGGGTCAGAGTGGAGGGCAGGGTGTTCCCCAAACTTTTCCTTCTCTGCCAAAGTCAATCCTGAGCAGAGACCCAGGGTCCTGTCTAGCCTGGCTCCTGGGTTCCTCTCAACAGGTCCTAACGACATTCTTCAACCTGAGTGTCCTCTACCTTCATGGCAACAGCATCCAGCGCCTGGGAGAGGTGAATAAACTAGCTGTCCTCCCTCGGCTCAGGAGTTTGACACTCCATGGGAACCCCATAGAGGAAGAGAAGGGGTATAGGTAAGTGTCCTGTCCCTGGAGCTGGGGTCCAGCTGGGCTCCCAAAGGAAGAGGGGAGGGGAGACGAAATCTCAGACCTGAAAGGGGAGTAGCAGACCTTGAAGCATTTCTTGCTGTCAGTCAGAATAAACCCAGTAGACCCCGCAAACTACATTCCAGTCCCTCCATGCAGAGGAGATAGCAGCAACTGGGGGGCGCAGAGTGGACAGAGATTGTGCTGGGGGAGCAAGGTCTGGTCCCCAGCCCAAGTCTTCCCCACAGGCAGTATGTGCTGTGCAGTCTGCCCCGTATCACCACGTTCGACTTCAGTGGGGTCACCAAAACAGACCGCACCACAGCTGAGGTCTGGAAACGCATGAACATCAAGACCAAGAAGGCCCACCTCAAGAAGAATGCACTCTGAGCTTCCCTCGGGACTAGAGCCCTGAGGACAGTCAGCCTGGCTTAACAATAAATGATTTGAGCTGTTAGGCGGAGTAGAAGTCATTTGTATTCTGTTGCGATGTTCTCCAACTCCAGTAACCATCTGTAGTTCTAGTCTTAACTTCACCAAGGCAGGCCATGGAGGGAAAGAAAGGCCTGCTGGCCTGGGACACAGGAGAGCTGGCCGACCACATCACCCTGGGCAACTCATCCAGCCTCTCTGGGCCCCTCTGTACTCTTAAGCTTCGATATCACAGGGTTAGAGTAGATGGCTACTTCCCAAATTCTTCAGAGTGCCAGGCTGTGTGTGGCTGCCCAAAGGACTCCACAACAGGCCCAAAAGATGGGCTGAGATCCACTCTATAATCAAATCACTGTAGTTCTACAGTTCTATACATTGGAAGACCGCTTAAGATTCCATTTGAGCCTGGTGGCTCATGTCTGTAGTCCCTGCATTCAGGAGGCTGAGGGGAGGAGGACTAACCTGAGTGTGCGGCCAGCCTGGGCTACATAGTAAGTTCAGCACCAGCACAGACTACAATGGAAGTTAAGACCTTGTCTCGAAAAACAAACAAACAAAAAATATTTGGAGCCGGGGATTTAGGTCAGTGGCTTCACCACCTGCCTTGCAAGCACAGGGGCCGAGTTTGATCCCCAGTACCAAAAAAAAAAAGGAAAGAAAAGAGCCAGGCATGATGGCAACACACTGTGTTTTAGACAGAGTCTAGTCTTTGCCAAACACCCAGGACTCTTGGTAATTTCACTGAGCCTGAAGGAGGGTCCTCAACAGCACAGGTGCCTCAGATCAAAACTGGTGAGCTCTGACAATGTTCTCACCCAACCTTAGCACAGGCACCTGGAACCCTGAACCCGTATCTCCTGGATTCCTCTTTATTGCCCCTTGAAGATAGTCCCTTCCCTGATCTCACTGCCCACAGACCTGAGGAGCCAAGAAGTAAAAGGGCAGGACAGAGGGGCTGGAACCAGCACACAAATGAATACATTTCCTTTATCGAGAGTGACAAACAAAAACAAAAAGAAAAAAGACCAAACATGTAAAAACCCAAGGTGCTAGAAATACAAACTCAATTCATTCAAATTCAAGCTCGTCCAGACCCTGGTCACAAACCCTGGTGAGGTGCATGTGAGCACCAAGTCAGGGAGGGGGGACCAGAGTGAATCTGAGGCCAAGAAAAAGGGTGGGAAGGGGATCCCTGGGTCCCCTGTTGTTCGCCTCCACAGTGGTATCTCTACCTTCTCAAAGACTAGACACCTCCCAGGCCATGTCCTCCTGGCCCCCATCCCACCCCAGCCAGGGCTTCGAAGGCCAGTCCCAAAGGTCCTACCCCCCCCTGCTCCGTCCTCACTTGCTTGGGCTTCTAGCCCTGCTCTTCTCCACATTCTTCTGTGATTAGTAGCAGGTTAGGGTACTGTTTAAGCCGCAGTGAGGCTGGGGGCCAGGGGAGGCGTGGTGGAGACGGGCTGAAGAGAGGAGAAGAGCTGTTCAAGGACCCCCCTCTTCATGGGATCCCAAACTGTACAACCAGCTCCTCTTTCGCGTCCACACGGATCTGAGAAAGTGCACTGTAGGCATAAGCAGCTATCCTGGAGACCTGAGGTAGAGGGGCCGGGGAGGAGAGGAACAGAGAGACACGTGAGACAGGATCCAGCTCAGGCAGAGGGAGGAGGGAATGAGACGACAAAGCCAAAAAGAAAGGCAAGGATGCAAAATGCAGAAGGAAAAGAACAGAGGGAAAGAAGTAATAGAGGATGAGAGTAAAGGGTCCGGGGAGGATATAAAAAGTCAGGGAGCAAAGAGGTGGGAGTGAGCTGGGCCCACAGGTTGCCAGGTTTCATAATCCACTTCCCTGCCTCCTCTGAGGCAGGACAGCGTGGGAAGGGTGGATCGGATAGGCCAGGGAGGCTCACCTGCTGCAAGTCAGAGAAGGGGATAGGCTCGCTGGCCAGCACTTGGTGGGGCTGGCTGGTGAGAGATGGTAGTGGTGGCAACTTCTTCCAATGGGTCAGGCTGCTGCTCAGCACAGCCAGGCGGGTACTGGCCGAAAGGGAGGTGATGGGGGGAAGGGCAGTTAGGCTGTTGACTGCCCTGCCCTGCCCTGCCCAGCCCAGCCCAGCCCAGGCAAGCCTCACTCAGGCCAGAGGAGCAGGTTGACAGGGTCTAGCTCATCACAGACACTCTGGGTACATACACCTCCATAGGCCTCAGCACTCTCAAGAGCATACAGAGCAAGGAGGGCTAACATGTCATCTACAGAAGCACTGAAGTGGTCTGTGGTCAGTCTCCCGGGCTGCGGCCCAGGCTCCAAAAGTGGAAAGGGCTGGCAGGAAGGGAGGGGAGGGGCTCAAGGTGGACTGCAGCTCACCTGTACTGCCTCGCCCGGTCCATGTACTCATGCTGCTCCATGCCCTGGGAGTCTGCAGCAGACACATCGATGATGTTGCTTTGGGGAGAGGAGACAGGAGATATGACAGGTGTTTCAGAGAGGGACCAACTGGACTCTGCAGGGTGCCAATTCCCAGGCTATATGACACCAGTGTCTCTGCCTGCCCAGTAACTGTCTCATCCCCACGTGCTGGGTCTGGTTGTCCCTTCCCAGCCTTTCATTTGGACGCAAGCTCTGCCTCAGGCCTGGTCCAGTGCCACTCACCTGGCTGTCTTGGCAAGGATAGAGGAGAGCAGGGCCTGCTCATCTGTGCGAGCGGAAGGCAGGCTGTGGTAGTTGGGCTCAGCTCCATTGAGGGCTTTGGTGGGAGGGCTACTAGGGTCTAGCAGCAGCTTCCGCTCCTCTCGATCCTAGGAGAGGCCATCAGAGAGAAGTCAGCCCCAGGACCCATAGTCCAATAGTCCTTTCCTGGTGTTTTCCTCTCAGCTCAGCTCTGACCCTTAAACATCAAAATACTTTTACAGGGAATATTCAAAGCACCAAAATTACAGAATATCAAGTAACACTTGATTCCTGCTGCCCTTTACAGCTCAGTGTAACTTGTGATCTGGGATGAACTAGAATCCTAGAGGGCCTGAAAAGACAGACAAAGGCACAAATATTCAGCAGCAGCCCTGGAAGACAGTCCCATACTCATTGGAAAAAGGATGTCAGAGCTTAGAAGACAGAAAAGGTGGGAAAATACTAAATCATAAGGTTCTAGAGTGGGGACCCCTGCAAGTCAAAAGACCAAGAGTGAGCCAGCTGTAGTGGTACACAACTGTAACCCCAGCGCTCTGGAAGGCTGAGGTGGAAGGATCAAAAATTTGAGCCCCAGCCGGGGATTTAGCTCAGCGGTTCGGTGGCCTGCCTTGCAAGCCCAAGGACCTGAGTTCAATCCCCAGTACCAAAAAAAAAAAATTGAGCCCCATCTGGGCAGCTCATTGACTGTGCAAACCCTGTCTCAAAAATAAAAAATAGAGAACCAAGACCTGTCATGTAAAGGTACAAGACCCCAATGATGAATGTAACTACTGTATACCTAAAATGTACCAATAAACTTAATGAGGAAAAATAAAAAATAAAGGACTGGGGACATAGCACACAATGTGAAGGCCCTAGGTTCAATCCCAGCACCACCACTACCACCACCGATAACAAACGGGGGTGGGGGTGGCATCTGAGTGGCCTCCCTGACCCTCCAGGGCAAGGTCCTCCCCAGTAAGGCTGTCTGATCCCAAGATGGATTCAGACCAGCGATGAATAGTAGCATTGTTCCTCGCTGGCCCAAGAGACCTCCTTAACTTTTAGCAGCACTGTTACTACCAGCCTGCACTGATGACCACAACCTCCAGAACTAGCTAAATCCAAACCACATCTCCCTAGTTCTGTACAACTATATTTCTCCTTTTCCTATTTCAGTACCACCCCCTTTTTGGTACCAGGGATTGAACTCAGGTCCTTGCACTTGCTACACAGGCGGTAGAACTATTAAGCCAAATCCCCAGCCCAGGCCCTTATTCTTAGGTACAGCTTTCTATATCTGACTCTGCCTTGAGCCCATTAGCTGTAAATCCCTGCTGGCTTTGTGCCAGCTCCAATATGGATAAGCAGACCTGTTGGGTGTCTGTCCAAGTCATAAAGAGCTCATGACAAACCCAAGGATGGGGTGAGTGCCCTGCACCCTGGCTAATGCTGACTCATCAACCTGCTGGATCTGACCCCCGAAGACTCAGTGTTCCCTTCCAAGCCTGTCTCAGTTCCTGTCACAGAGTTCCGCTTCAGCAGCCAGCTCCCCTTAATTGAAGGCCACTTCCTCCTGCCTCACCTGCCCCACCCTGAGCAGACCCAGCCTTTTCACTTTCCTCTTTCTTCTCAAGTCTAGGTTGCCCAAGGGTCCCCAGACCATTTGATCTAGTTCCCAACAGCATGAAAAAAACAGCTTGCTGTTGGGCGTTGTGGCACATGCCTGCAATCTCAGTACTCAGGAGGCTGAGGCAGGAGGATCGCTGTGAGTTCGAGACCAGCCTGGGCTACATAGTGAGTTCCAGGTCAGTCTCAACTACATAGTGAGACCCTGTCTCAAAAAAGAAAAAAAGAAAAACAGCTGTGGGGTTCTGCCCTGTCACCTCCAAATTCCTACATACTACATACTTTTGTCTTCTTTCTGTATTAAAGACAAAAAGCTTGCCAAAGAAGAGCTTATCTCTAAAGAAAGCTGGCTCCATAATGAGGCTAGAATTACTTTCCTAAATCCTTCCCCCACCTTCTCTTTTTTTGTTTAGACAAGGTCTGAGTATGTAGTTTAGATTGCCAGGAAATCAGTGATCCTCCTGCCTCAGCCTCCTGGAGTGCTGGGATTACAGGCGTACACCACCACACCCAGCCCTCCAGCCTCACTTCTGATAGATCTTCCAGCAAAATATGTATAGTTCTCCTCTCTCAAGAGTTTCAAGAACAAAGCTATTTTCCTAACCCCTAGAAGAGATCATGCCACTCCCTTCACAGTGGATGGATAGTATCACTCTACACCCAGATGAGTGGAGCATGGGATAGGTCTATCACACCAAGGTCTGTCCCTGAGTCAGTATAACCCTAGAGTCAAGGCCAACCTCGCTGTCAACCTCACCACAAACACAAATGTAACCTACCCATGGTTACCCTAGCCACTTGGGTCTGTGGACATGGATGACCAAGATAGCTTGGCCCAATACATAAAGCATATGGTCTGACATCAAAACATCTTACCAGGGTATTTCTCAGGACTGCAAAATCTTAGTCCCCCTTAACTTTTTCCTCACTTTTTTTGTTGTTTGAGATAAGGTCTCTGCTCTGCAGCCCAGGCTGGCCTTGAACTCAAAGCAATCGTGCCTCAGCCTCCCAAGTGCTGGGATTACAGGCATGTACCACCACACCTGGCTTCTCACCTTTCCCCCTCCTGTAGTACTGAGGATTTCAGGGACTCATGAGAATACTAGGCAAGGACTCCTCCAGCCCTTTTTTGATTTTTTTCAAAAGGGTCTTGCTATATAGTTCAGGCTGACCTTGAACTCACTATGTAGCCCAGGATAGCCTCAAACTCATGGTGATCCTCCTGCCTCAAAGCCCTTTGAAAATTGTAATGTGTGAGGCACGAAATCCCGGCAATTTAGAAGGCTGAGGAAGGAGGATCGCTTTGATTGAGGCTAACCTAGGTTACATAGTGAATTCAAGTTCAGCCTTAAATACACAGCAAGTCTTTATCTAAAAAACCAAAAAAACAAAGCTGTAATGTGTTATACATTTCTTTTTATTATTATAATAAAGGGGTGGTGAATGGATATGATCTTTCCTGAATGAGACCTTAAATCGCTCATCACTGGATCAAACACCTCTGAGAGTCTCATTTGCCCATCAAGGGGAAGGTGGAGGATTCAGGAGAGCAGCAAACCCAGCTCTCTTCCTGCTAGAAAAAGACATTCTTCCTCAGATGCTAACCCTTTTTATTCGCTGGGACAATTTCCCACCGAGCCACCTCTCCCAGTAAGTAAAATTACTGTTGTCTCTAATAGGCTTCTAATATGCTAGGTTGACATTAGTGATACTGGCCATGAGATATAACTGACACACGGCACAGGAAACGTGTTCATTAGGTTTGGAGAATTTTGGATCAGGAGCCATTCATAGCTCCCGTACAAATAACATTTTCCTGAACTTAAGTCTTTAACTCAAAATACCATTACTAAGAAAAGAAATACTTTCCAAATACCAGTGGTATAACCTACTTCTGTGACAGTCTCCCCACCTAGACTGCATACTACCCAATGAAACAATTCTGTCTGAGTCTACTATGTGTTAAATAAAGGTAGAACTCAGGCTCAGGAAAAAAAAAAGAGTATCCAGCAGCTTGAGACTTTATCCATGTAAAGGTCTCCCCTTCAAGTGCTCAGGCAGGGCAGGGACTGAAATATGGAAAGTGGGCATCAAGGGGAAGAATATTTACAGTATGTACAGGTCTCCCCAACCTAACTCCTTCTCCAAAGGGACCAGGTTTGTAGCCACAATCTCAAGACAGACACCTCTCTAGCTAGAGGAACCTTCAGACACCAGCGTCGGCACGAAGGCAGGCCGAACTCTGAACCAAAAGCTCCAATCCTTCTTTCCCAATTCAGTCAAAGCTAAATCCAATGTACTGCTTCCCAAACAACTTCCCACACGTCTCTTCATTGTAGTTATTAGAGTTCTTCACTGGCTAACTCAAATGTTACCAACTTCGGAGGTTTCTCTGGTCCCAGACCAGCAGTGCCAGTTCTTCTCCAACTCCAAGGACAGAGAGGATACACAAACTCCTGGTCCATTCTAGGGCAATCTAACTCAGGGCCTCAACTTAACCACTTCTACAATGGATTCGCAAAGCCCACTAATACAAGCGCAGAGAAGTCGCAGGGAGTATGGAAAGGAAGTACTTGCCAGAGAAACCTAGGAAGGACTCTTAAAGCTTGTTAAAGTCTAAAGACAGGGATAGGTGGAAGGGGAAGGAGTCAGATAGGAGGCCGCGGGCACATCTCCTGACCGAGACTAGGTGAAGACCTGGGGCTTTAACAGAGGTAGAAGCTCGGCTTGGCGTCTCCTCTGTAATCTGTCTCCTACAGGCCTCCGTACTGCATGAGCCTTGCACTCGGGCTCCCACTCCTCTGCAGATTTTTTTTGGGGGGGCCCCAAGTCCCAGGGTCTAAGCCCTCACTCCCGAGCCCCGCCTGCCGCGGCCGCACCTGGTCCGAGTCTTCGTTTTCGCTGCTGTAGCAGCACCCCATTGCTGGGGTAAGGCCGGGCACTCAGGCCGCGCCGAGGAGGGACGGCGTCCGTCAGGAGCCCTTCCGGTCACATGCCTACGGCTGCCTCTCGCAAGCTACTATCCGTTCCCCTCCCCCTGACCATCCAGTCCCAGAGGCACAGCCAAACCCCGGCTTCCGGCTCCACCCCCCAGACGTGTGACTACCACCAACCAATGGAAAGGTGCACCCTATGCGCCAGCGCAGGAATCACGTGACGCGAGGACGGGGAGGGGCGTATCACATGACTATCATGTGCCCAGTCTGTAAGTTTAAATCCTCTAAACCCTGGGCGGTAATTCCACTCTGTAATCGCCTGGCTCTTAGGCTACCTTTCTGGGCCAGAGAGTGAACACATGCCAGCTGCTGTTATGATACGCTCTTTTAAATGCCATATGAGGGATGAATGGGATCCAGGCCCCCCCCCCGCTCCTAAGGGCCTATAGTTTGGGGCACACACAAGCCTAAAAAGGTGGGTGCTACTGCCATGGTGGCACACGCCTGTGATCCCAACACTCAAGAGGCTAAGGCAGGGCGATCGCTGTGAGTTTGAGACCAGCCTCAGCTACATAGTGAGTTCCAGGTCAGTCCCAACAGTTTCAACTACACAGCGAGACCCTGTCTCAAAAAAGCAAACCAAAACAAAAAAGAAGATTGTTGCCCAACAGGGCTGGGGAAGGGGTAGTTTATACCTTAACTACTTAAAGCAAGGCCTATCCCTCGGGACATTTTCTTCAGTCTTGCCTTTTGACAACAGCCATAGTAACCCAAAGCCCTTTTGAGGAGGGGAACTCTGAGACAGTCTCACTGTGCAGCCCAGGCTAGCCTTGAAATGAAGATGACCTTGCTTCTGCCCCCAAAATGCTGGGATTATAGTCAAGTGACTTCATGCAGGGTTCAGTTCGCTCTTAAAAACCCCTCCAGGCCAGATAATGTAGCTCAGTGACACAGCACCTGCCTGGCAAGCATGAGGTCCTGAGTTCGATCCTGACTCTGGCCTACCCCAAAAGAGCACCCCTCCTGCGGGGCAGGGTGGCAGATGCCTTGTAATCTCAGCACTCAAGAGGCTGAGGCAGGAGGATTGCCATGAGTTCAAAGCCACCCTGGGCTTCGTACTGGGTTCAAGGCAGCCTGAACTACATAGCAAGACCCTGTCTCAACAAAAAACAGAAAACTCAACCCTCCTGTCTTCCCTTGGGCCAAATCTGAACTCTAGATTATGCATTTCCTGATACCTGCCTCCCGATTCATGCCAGAGGGTGGAGGAGCAGGGAAGGTGCTTCCCCTAGCCAGAGAAATACTTGCAAAGTTTCTTCTCTTTGGTTTTGTTTTGTGTGGTTGTTTTCTTGTTTGTTTTATGTTACTAAATATGAAACCCAGAGTCTCGAGTGTGGAAGACAAGTATTCAACCATTGAGCTACACCCTCAAGTCTGTTTTGGGGTTTAAAATGGTCTCCTAAATTATCTAGGCTGGCCTTGAACTTGCTATCTTGCCTCAGACTCCCCAGTGGCTGAGATCACAGGCCTACCATACCCCACCCAGCAGTACTTGGTTCTTTCACTGACCTGAACGTTGCATGTGGGGCCTGGCAAACTATCTTCCTGCCAGGTCTGTCTATTGTCTACAAGGCTTCTCAACACAAGTGATATCCATCTGATTACCTTCTCTGACTCGATTCTCTGAGCATCTTCAGTTTCCTGGTGCTTCATCTTTATCCAGTGTGAATTAATTCATTTGGTCAATGAATGTTAACTGTCTACTGTGTACCATACCAGTGTTCTATTTGGATAGGCCGTCATTCAGAAAACAGTCAAAAGTTCCTGTACTCATGGAGCATCCAATGTAGTGTTCACAGCATATTGTGATCTTGTGTTCCTAGGTCAACCTCTGCTATTAAACTGAGAGTTCCTGGAGGACAGGTGCAGGTTTTGACTCTTCTCTGTGACCCAAGCCACTGAAAACTTCAATTTTGAGTTGAGTAATTTATAGTTTCTCCATCACCTTGGCTCACAGCATGTTTTGTGTCTTGGTCCAAGGGAATGGAGAAGTCACCAGACCTAGTAGCATTTACTACCCCTCCAATGAAGACCCTGGAGTTCTCTAAGTTTTTTTGAGGGCTCCTAAAGTTTAGAAGGTATCTCCACCTTGTCCCTAGGTCTGAGGGCTGGGGATTTACCTCAGTGGCACCTCACCTGCCTCCCAAGCAGAAGGTCCTGAATTCCATCCCTGATGCCGAAAAAAACAAAACAAAACAAAAAAACTAATTACCTAGGTCTGGTAACTTGAACTGCACAGTCTCAGGTAGCAACAGCTGCCTCAGCATCAATAATTGAAAGCAAGTCCAGCTTCTTGCCTCAGGGTTATTCCCCCTAAGGACTCCCCTACCTGGCCTGTACTCCAGTCTTCCCTAAGCAGGAGCCTCTATCCCAGGTAAGGTGGGCCTTATGGATCCCCATGCTCACCATCACTTACCTATTCACATCCATTCATGCAGTCTGCTTTAGTCCTTCCCCCACCCCCACCAAAGGCCCTGGGAGCCCTGCCAGGTCAGATCTAGAGAGGGAGGATGGTCCAGGGCTGGGAGAGGAAAGGGCAACCATCTTTCACAGGGGACCTTGAGGAAAAGGACTGAGAGTGAGGAGAGTGTGTGGTGTTTTTATGTATGCACTTATAAAGAGAATTCTGAAAGTACGAAGAGGGAAAAAATGGGAGAAGGAAGAAGGGAAGAAGTACAAATCAAGGACTCGTTCTACCTTCAGTGAAGAGCAGAGAGTCCTGGGGGTGGGAAAAAAGACATTTCACCCTAACATCTTTGAAGTATTTTTATTGCCTTTTACTGAGGCACAGCACGGTGACAATGAGGCATTTTCCTGAACAAAAGAACCAGGCTTTTTTCTTCTGCTACACGGTATTAGGTGAGAAGAGGCCAAGCAGCTAAGGGGTTAGGTGAATGTGAGGATATTGTAGAAGGAATTTAAAGAAGTTCTGAAGAACGGGTGACATCAGGGATAAAAGGAAATGAGTGAGGGGAGTTAGGTGGAGATAAAGATTGGGACCGGAAAGAGGTGGTTTGAGGTTGGGTTGAACGTGGACAGTAGAGTCTGAAAATACACAGGCTTGGAATCATACCAAGATGTATTCAGCTTTACCTTCCTGTGCTTCATCTTTTTTTTTTTTTTTTTTTTTTTTTTTTTTTTTTTTTTGGTTTCTTGAGACAGGGTCTCACTATGTCACTATGTAGTTCAGGCTGGCCTCAAACTCATGGTGATCCCCCTGCCTCAGGCTCCCGAGTACTGGGAGTAGAGGTGTGCACCACCACATCCAGAAATTAGCTCTTTAAATCATAAATATTCACAAGCCGGGTGTGGTGGCGCACACCTGTACTCCCAGCACTCAGGAGGCTGAGGCAGGAGGATCGCTGAGTTCGAGACCAGCCTGGGCTACACAGTGAGTTCCAGGTCAGTCTCAACTACATGTGAGACCCTGTCTCAAAAAAAAAAAAAAAAAATCGTAAATATTCACTGTCTGCTGTGCTCAGTTCTTCAGTGTGACTGGACAAAATACACAGCCTTTTTCAGCCATGGTTTGTAACATATGAGCATAGCAAATGCTACTGGTAAAGGCTACACAAATGACCAGCAATTGGTGTGTGTGGGTTTCTCTCCCAATATCCCTCCACCCCAAGGCACAGATAGGGACCATGTCCCCTGCAATTGCACTGGCATTCCTGCCACTGGTGGTGACGCTGCTGGTACGATACCGGCACTACTTCCGACTTCTCGTGAGAACCATCTTGCTGAGAAGCCTTCGAGATTGCTTGTCAGGGTTACAGATTGAGGAGCGGGCCTTCAGCTATGTGCTCACCCATGCTCTGCCTGGGGATCCTGATCACATCCTCACCACCCTGGACCACTGGAGCAGCCACTGCGAGTACCTGAGCCACATGGGGCCTGTCAAAGGTCAGTGTACCAGGAAGTACCCCTAAGAGAGTGAAGAAAGATCTGGAATCTGTCACTGCCTTCCTGGGTGAATTGGGCAGGTTCATGTTCTTTGGGTATCTTTTCTCATCTGGAAATAAGGGACTTGGACTGAGTCATTTATTCACCTGGTAAACATTTATTGCCATCTACTTTGTACCAGATATGAGCTAGGTATGGAAGAGGCAGAGGCAACAGAGATGAGCCAACCACAAACACTGGCCTCAAAGGAAGCATAATACACAAGGGAATAACTATAACAGCTTTTTTTTCCTACCATAGAAGCTTCTGCATCCAATTCAGGATAGCACCACCTCTATAATCTCAGTCCCAGCTCCCAGCAAAGTTGAAGTCTTATTTTAAAAATTTGTCCAATTCCAAGATCAGAAATATATTCGATAAACAATGAAAAGGGGAGTGTGAAACTAGAAGCCTCTCGGGAGTCTGGAAGATGGGGTTGTTGTTTCTACCTGGGCACTCCAGGAGGAAGCAATATTTGAACTGAGTTTAAGAGTGGTTTCAAGTTGGCCACGTGGATGGGGATGGTGGCGGGGATAAGCAAAGCCAGTCGTGTGTACAGATGTGGCATAGAGAAATGAGACATGATGGTTGATTCTGGGAACAGTTGTTTGGGATGGCTGTGATTTCAAGTTAAGGGTAGGAGGAGCTGAGAGCTGTAGCTGCAAAGCTAGGGTAAGATCAGGTCTAAGAAGGTCCTGAATTCCAGGCTGAGGATCCCAGTTCAACTCTAAAGGCCTTTAAAATATAGGAGCCAAAGACTGACTTATTTGTTAGATTTCAAGCTGGTGTGAATAGACTGGAGGGGCAGGACCAGTAGGGCAGTAGGGATGAAATGAAACCCCCAGTTGGTTGGGGCTATGAGGAGACAGGGATTTGCAGTCTCTTTTCATTTTATCAGACTGCTTGGTCCCACTGGTCCCCCTGCTTGCAGAGGGGCCCTGCATCATCTTCTGCAACAGCCATCTCACCCCATAGGTCAGATCCTAATGCGGCTGGTGGAAGAGAAGGCCCCTGCTTGTGTGCTGGAGCTTGGCACCTACTGCGGATATTCCACACTACTTATTGCCCGTGTCCTGTCCCCTGGGAGTCGCCTTCTCACTGTGGAGCGGGATCCACGCACAGCAGCAGTAGCTGAGAAACTCATCCGCCTGGCTGGCTTCGATGAGCGCACGGTCAGGCTCCCCATCTCCCTAATTCTGATCTCTTCTCTGGCATCCTGGCCTTGTCCTAGCCAGGCCTCTTCGCAAGTATGATCATGTAGGGTATGTGATCTACCCTCTGCCACAAGTCTTCACTACAGATTTTCTGCTAGATGACAAAAGGAGATAAGAAGTCTCGAGTTCAGCAACTCTGTGTCCAAATCTTAGTCTGCCTCTTGTTAGCTATTTGACCTTGGGCAAACGACATATCCTCTGAATTTCAGCATCTTCATGGGCAGAATGGAAATTACAATAGTGATCTAACTTCTTGAGTTCTGATGCCAGAGGAAATGTGAGACACTTGCGGGGACTTAGGCCAGATCCTGGTGGGATCTGAGTGGGAAAGGAATCCTTCCTATAGTCACAGCCGCCTTTCCCCACAGGTGGAGCTCATCGTTGGCAGCTCAGAGGAGGTGATTCCATGCCTGCGAGCCCAGCATCAGCTGAGTAGGACGGACCTAGTGCTCCTGGCACACCGGCCCCGATATTACTTGCGGGACCTGCAGCTGCTGGAGGCCCATGCTCTGCTGCCAGCCGGTGCCACTGTGTTGGCTGACCATGTGCTCTTCCCAGGTGCACCCCGCTTCCTGCAGTATGCCAAGAGCTGTGGCCGCTACCGTTGCCGCCTGCACCACACTGGCATCCTAGACTTTCCTGCCATTAAGGATGGCATAGCCCAGCTCACCTATGCTGGACCTGGTTGAGGTCCAGGACCAAAAGTAGTTAACTTATTCACCCCCATACCCACCAAGACAAGGACCTCAGAACATCCCCTTCCCTCCCTATTTGGTGCCCAATACTTGCTGCGCTCAGGGTTGGGAGGTTTTCTTCCCAACTCTGCCCCTTTCCAGCCTCTACAATGACCTGAAGTGTCAAATTTTATCAGACTGCTTGGTCCCACTGGTCCCCTTGCTTGCAGAGAGAACCATGGACTTAGAGCAAGAGGCCTAAGCTCCCAAACCAGACGGCATTGGTTTGCGGGGCGACTCTAGGCAAGTCCTGTCCTGCTCTGAGATTTAATTTGCTCCTTTAACACTAAGATAGCTAGCTAGGAGAGTCCTAGGGTTTCCTAGCTCTGTGCCTCAGGAAACCTGCCCTCACCAGGATTAGAGGAAGTACCAGATAAGAGGCCCCCAAGGAAGGCCTGGATGCAAGCTGACACACAGAAAGCAGGGCTCAGGTTCTCCAACCCTGGCCTCCTCGGCCAATTAGGTTTGCTTCATATCCCTGGAGTTCCCCCTCCCTCCAAGCCCAAGAGAAGATGCTGGATTCCTCTACGTCCCACCAAGTAGGGAATAGACATAGGGGGAAAAAATCAGTCCTGTGTCTTTATTAATGAGGGTTAGAAAGATACCAGACCTGTCTTCCATGGGGTGGCCAGGAAGGTGGGATGGGCTCAGGCTCTGGGGATTCAAGGACAGACTGATGGTCTGGGAGGGGTCAAGATCAGGTCCTGGCAACAGCTGAGAAGTGCCCATGGCTGAGCTTTCAGGCACTGGGGCTGTCAGCTGGTTTTGTGGGCTGAGAGGTTGGGGCAAGGGATGCAGGGTAGGTGGGGCTGGCCTGGAATCGCCACCCTGCCTTGTCTACCTAGATCATCCACTGGTCCTGATCCTGCTCGTTGCCTTCCATGTCCACCTGGAGAGGAGGCTGAGTGTGGGTGGGACGGGGCCTCAGCCCCAGATCCTACCCCTTGGTGGGTCCAGGGTTTCTGTACCCCATCACTATCAAGTAGATCGGGTTAGGGACCCAGGAACAGAAACCCTCCCCTCCACCCCATGCCTACCTCATTGACTTCTCCATCATCAGGTGATTCATTATAGTCATTCATCTCATCCATGTCCTGCATGTCTTCATCATCTTCTGAGTCCTCTTCACTATCCTCATCGTCATCTTCATCCTCCTCTTCCTCATCATCATAGTGCTGGGAAGGCAGCAGGGAGCCTGAAGGCCCTACTGGGAAGCCTGGACCACTTCAAGCTGGCCCACTTGAAGCCTCCCTCACCCTGTCCCTACCCCCTTTGAATCTAGCAGGCTGGTGTGTGTTCTGCAAGATATTAGTACTAGGGCCTGTGTCCACCCACTGCAGCTCCCCTTTTTAGCCTTTACCTGGACTGAGAATCCACAACTGCTCTGGCTCAAAGACAGGACATTCAGAATTAGAGCAGAGCTTTGATCCACCATGGGCCTCACATAGGCCTAACCTGCTGCAGCAACTCACCTCTGAGGCTGGCTTGCCAATAGGTACCAGGTTGTTGTCTTTCTCTGCGATGCTTTGGAGCTGTGGGCAAAGGGAGGTTGGGAGGACCCAAGAAGGACAGATCAGGGGCATGGAAGTGGCCTACTCTGTCCCTAAGAAGACCCCTAGGAAGAGTCCCTAAGAAGACAAGTGCTGGGAGAGAAGCTTCTTCCCAGTTCTCAAAAAGATTGAATCCCTTTCTCCAATCATCTACCACTTATAAATTCGATCCAACTACTTAAACTCTTCTGGGCCTTGGTTTCTTCATGTAATTATGATAAGGGTTAAGTGACTTGGCCTAGAACATGGCAACTGCTAGATCCAGGATATAATAAATAGTTAAAATTATTAATTCCTGTGCTTCAGGGAAAAGAGTTTGGGCTGAGTGAGGGGAACCTGAGCTCTAATCTTGCCCAGAAGTCTCATGGTCCCTCAGCAAATGAGAACCCTGGCTCCCCGCGTGACTACTCCCAGCTCAGAGCAAAGAACTCTTCCAGGGAGGTCTCCACAGTAAGGCCCAAAGGCCTGTACTAGGTTCTCACTCACCCAGGCCTGATGCTGCTGTTCCTGCTGCTGTAGCTCTGTCTCCTCCACACAAGGCCGATCCAGATTAAACCACAGTGTCTCAGTCACACGGGGGAAGAGCGAAGGGAACAAGGTGGACATGGCTCCTAGACTGAGGAAAACAGTGAGGTGAATGTGTTTTGCTTCAGATTTCAATTGGCTGTAATTTGATTTAGGGACAGGGTGGAGTGGAAGTTAGCAGGAAAACACCTCTTCCCTCTGGGAATCACACAGACCTGGGTTTGAGTCCCGGCTCCACCACGTACTAGCTGTTTGTGGCCAAGTCACTTAACCTCTCTGGGCCTCAGTTTCCTCATCTGTAAAATTAGGATAATAACAATTATACCACCTTAAAAGTTATTCTGATAAGCAATGTTTAAAGCTGCAGGTTGTTTATGAAGGGAAAAGAACTAGAGCCAACTGTAGAGATGGAAACCAGAGTCCAGACTAGCATTACAAAATTAGAGGCAGCTGGGCTCTGCTAAATTATCTCTACTCCCTCCAAACTCTAAAACTTAATTTTTGCCCCTTTATCATGGTCCATGTGATGCCCACTCAGTATGAAACACTTGGAACACCAACTACCTCACTCGTGGACCAGTCAAACTGGGGGATAGAGGTTGCACCATGTGCAAGAAGGGTTCAGTACGATGCTCTAGAAGGCATGAATACATGGATAAATCGTTGAAAGACTGAACGGATTAACTAGTATGTACAAGAAAAGTACATCTGCTGAGAGAGCTGACCGGCAAGGTCCTGGGGAATCTGAATTAAAACACCTCAGCTCACAGACAGGAAAAATGAGACCTAGCAACAAGCTGACTGGCTTTAGGTCACACGGAGGGCCAGGGCTTAAAAATTGCGCAGGGAAGGGATCCATCTTCTCTGGAGGAGAGAAGAAAAGAAGAATCCACATGAAGGCCCGTTTTTCCCGAACTTATCTGACCAACCCTGGGCCAGTCCCTGCCATCCTATGGGCCCAAACTTCCCACTACCAAGCACAAAAGCTTCCACCCTCAAGTCCCATAAATACTGACAGCCCAAAGATCTTGCCTCAAAAACCCAACCCACCGCCGCAAAGGCACCACCCACTCTTTGCTTATTATGACAGCGCGGTTGACCAACAGAAAAAAAGCAGGGGTGGGCCTTGCACAGGAGTTTGGCCTTATAGAGTTGATGATCCCAAAAGGAGTGGGGCCTGGGTAGAGCCAATTAACTGAAAGAAATGCCGGATGACAGGAAGCGACACCAATGAATGACGGGTTCTGTGTGGACGGGGTGGGACTTAGTCCTAATGAAGCGGCCAATGAGCAGCAGCTCTTTAAGGGTAAAGCGTCTGAACCAGCAGCTTCAAAGGAACTGGGCTTCTCTGAGGGAAGGAGGGAAAAAAAAGAGCGAAGAGCCACAACTCCGCTTCTGTACTTACCGCCCCGGGAGGCGGCAGCCGGCGGCGACCCGGAAGTGCTTCTCTTAGTTTGAGCGGAAGGACCCACCAGACGCATGCGTCCTTCGTCTCCTTTTGTTTCCCGCTCCCTTTTATGAGACCGGAAGTGACGTTATACGTCTCTTAGTCCCGTATTAGTTGGGGGAGGGAAATTTGTTGCGTTTACCCATTGGCCCTCCCTGCCTTAAGTTTCAGCCAATTCACCTTTCCAGTTTCCTACCGCCAGTCCACCTAATTGTTCCTTTCCGTCTCCAATGGGTATTTGCACTCAAACACCTTTTTAAAAATGACTACTAGCATCCTGCTTTGCTATGGGAACTCTATCCTGTTGCTTTCCAGGAAAATTCGCTTTTGTCGCAAAAGCTGAGTGGTTTAACATCTTTCTTGTCACCTCAGACTTAGTTTCCCTTGTGAATGCAGTCATTCCTTTATGTATGTCTTAAACAACAATATGTGTTTATTAGATTCCATTATTTGCTAAAAGCTGGGAATAAATTAATAAGTATGGTCAGTGGCCCCAAAAACTTTGGTTCGGGGTGGGGGGGGGTTGGAGGGAGTCAGACCCTGCAGATCCCACTGGGAATTGACAATGCCTTTTCCTTCTTTTTTTTCTTTTTTCTTTCTATTTTTCAAGACTGGATCTCACTACGTACTTCAGACTGGCCTTGAACTCACTATGTCGCCCAAGCTGGCCTCAAACTTGAGGAAATCCACTTTCCTCAGCCTACCCAGTGCTGGGATTACAGTCATGTGCCACCCTGTCCAGCTCAAATGTCATTCTTTTTTTTTTCCTTTTATTGAGTTTATTGGTACAATTTAGGTATACAGTACAATTACATTCATTATTGGGATCTTGTACCTTTACATGACAGGTCTTTGTTCTCATTTTTTTCCCCTTGTCCGCGCCTTCCCTTCACCCACTTCTCCCCTCCCCATTTACAAACACTTCATTTCCATTTTTGGATTTTCTCGTATTTTTTTCTTTTCCCTCATTACCTTTCCCCTACCCTTCCCATTTTCCCTACACCTTTAGCTCTTTTCTTCCTATTTCACATAGTCAATTATCTCATTGTGGGACTCTTAACTGCTATGTAACCCCTAGTTAGCCAGCATATAGCAGCACACATTTCCTTCTACCCAGCTCCAAGATAAGATTAAAACAGAGTGTGTGGAAGCCTGGTACGGACAAACAAGATAGCGACTCAAGGCCTTGTTAGAATAGAACAGCCTGAGGTCTGGAGATGAAAGGCCAGGTGCACTGTATAGCTGACTCCTTTAGACAGATAACAGAAAACCGACCCCCTGACCCCTGGTCCACTTGCTGTGCTTGCAATCCTCTTCCCTTGCCTTTAAAAAACTGTGCTAACCCCTGTGTTGCACCTCTCTGAGCTGCTCAGTTCTGAGAGTGCCATCTGGCCTGACTAATAAAGGTCTATTTACCAACAAGCCTGATGTGTTCCTTCCTGGGTGACTCTCGTTCCTCCAGCGAGCTCCTGGAGCCTCGCTGAGCTATGGTCCCAGCATCTTGGAGGCTCTTTTGGCTGTTCAAGGCTCCCAGAAGTAAGGCCCTGGGTCTTGGATCTGGAGCTATCATCGGGCTATAGGACTCAGCATTGTGAAGACCCTTTTGGCTGTTCTAGATGAGAATCTAATTTCTCATTCTTTATGGCTGAGTAGTATTCCATTTTATAGAAAAACCACATCTTTATCCAGTTTCCAACTGATGGGCACATGGGCTGTTTCCAAGTTTTAGCTATTACAAACTGTGCCCCTATAAACATAGGTGTGCATATATCACTGTGGTATGATTCTTTTAATTCTTTTGGAAAGATACCCAGCAGAGGGATGGCTGGGTCAGATGGAACCTCTAGTCCCAGCTCTTTGAGGTATCTCCATATTGATTTCCATAGTGGTTGCACCAGTCAGCACTCCCACCAACAATGGAGAAGGGTTCCTTTCTCCCCACAGCCCCACCAACATTAGTTATTGATTGATTTCTTGATAGCAGCCATTCTTTGTGGGGTGAGGTGGAATCTCAGTGTTGTTTTCATCTGCATCTCTCGAATGACCAGTGATGTGGAACATTTTTTCATATATTTACTTACTGCTTTTACTTCTTTGTCTGAGAAATGTCTGTTCATTTCAGATGCCCATTTTTGAATCGGGTCTTTATATTTGGGGGGGCTGATTGTTTTAGCTCTTTATATATTCTAGATAATAGTCCTTTGAGGAACAGCTGGTAAAAATTTTTTCCCACTCAAATGTCATGCTTTATGGCAGTGTAATACTCCATTGTGTATTAATATCACATTTTCCTCATCCATTCATCTGTTGATTTACAAATATTCTGTTTCCAAGATCTAGCTACTATAAATTGTGCTGCTATAAACATGGGTATGGATCTATCCCTGTAATATTATATTAACTATTTTAGGACAATACCTAGAAGTGGGCTAGCTTGGTCAAATGGAATTTCTAGTTTTAGTTTTTTGAGAAATCTCTACACTTATTTCCATAGTGGTCATACTAGTTTCCATTCCCGCTAACAACATAGAGTTCCTTTTTCACTACATCCTTGACAGCATTTGTTATTATTAGATTTCTTAGTGATACACATTCCTTATGGGATAAGACAGTATGTTTATGTAGGTTTTTTTTTGTTGTTTTTGTTTTTGTTTTGGTATCGGGGATTGAACTCAGGTCCTTGCGCCTGCAAGGCAGGACACCAAACCACTGAGCTAAATCCCTGGCACTTGTCAGTGTAGTTTTAATTTGCATTTCTCTGATGGTTAGCAATGATGGGCATTTTAAATGTATTATTGACCAATTATCCCTCTTCTGAGAAGTGTCTGTTTCAGTGACCCATTTTTTTAAAATTTAGTCTTTTATTTGGGGGAAGTCTAATTTTGTAAATTCTTTATATGTTAGCCCTCTATTCAAGGAATAGCTGGCAAAAAACTTTTTCACATTCTGTAGCTTGTCCCCACCCCTCTCTTTTAGACAAGGTCTCACTATGTAAGTCAGGCTGGCCTTGAACTCACTGTGTAGCCTAGGCTGACCTGAAACTCACAGCAATCCTCCTATCTCAGCCTTCAGAGTGCTGGGATTATAGGCATGTGCCACCTCACCTGGCTGTGGCTTGTCTCTTCACTCTACTGGTTGTTTTCTTTGCTGTAATGCAGAATCTTTTTAATTTACTACCCATTTGTTTCAGTATTATTTCTGTGCCATTGGCGCTCTGTGCAGAAAGTCCTTGCCCACGCCTGTGTCTTCAAGAATTATACCTATTTATATGTTCCAGCAGATTAAGTGTTTCTGTTTTAACATTTAGATCTTTGATCCATTTTGATTTTAGTTTAGTACATGGTGAGACATATGGGTCTAGACTTAATCTTCTGCATGTGGATATTTAATTTTTGCAACACTATTTATTAAAGAGGCTATCTTTCCTCGAGTGTATGTTTTTTATTCCTTTGTCAAAAGTCAAATACCAAGGGCTGAGGATTTAGCTCAGTGGTTCTGCCACCTGCCTCACAAGCGTAAAGTCCTGAGTTCGATACCTGGTACCAAAAAAAAAAAAAAAAAAAAAAAAAAAAAAAAAAAAAAAGAAAGAAAAAAGAAAAGATCAAGTAGCTATATATGGGCTGAGGATTTTGCTCAGTGGCACTGTGCCTCCCTCTCAAGCATAAGGTCCTGAGTTCAAGCCCCTATACCAGGAAAAAAAAAATAGCTGTATGTGCCTGGGTTTGTTTCTGCTTTTTCTATTCTGTTCCATTGATCCACACCCTTGTTTAACCAGCATCATAATCTCCCCAGCCTTCCTCCTAATCACATGTTGGAAATGTCTACCCTTTTCATCCATTCATTTACCAAATACCTATTGATGTACCTGTAGATACAGACCCCTCACGGTACTATGTAGTAGATTTATGGTAGTGAACAAAACAGACCAAATAAGACCCCCTGCATCATATAGCTTCCATTCTAATGAGAGATAAACAATGAAGAAGAGAAAGGTGAAGCCAGGCATGATGGTGCATGATGGAGCTACTTGGACAGCAGGCAAGCCTTACAGGTTCAAGGCCAGCCTGAGCTTGTCTCAGAAATTTAAGAGGGCTAGGAACATAGCTCAGTGGTTAACAGGAGACCCTGAGTTCAATCCCCAGTCCCCACACACATTAATGAGAAAAAAATTTTTTAAGATTGCAGTAAATACTGATGGTAACTAGGAATAAAATGTTGTCAGGGGAGTTGTTTAAATAGGGGAGTCCAGGGAAATCACTAGAAGGAGTAACTTTTGGGTAAAGGTCAGAGAGAGAGAGAGAGAGAGAGAGAGAGAGAGCAAGAGCGCAAGAGAGAACCTCTGCTGATATTTTGGAACAAGGATTTCAGGAAGCAAGAACAGTAAGGGCCTAGATTAGCTAGAGCAGAGTGTCCTGTGTGGAGAGGAGTTGATGAGGACACAGAGGCACAAGGAGACAGATGCCTACAACTTTGTGGTCATAATAAGGACTTTACCTTTTACTTTGTGTTAGGGAACCAGTGGTGGGTTGTAAGCAGAGAGAGAGAACCCACCCAGTCTGATTTACAGTTTGACAGAGTTAATGTCCTGTGAAGAATAGACCGGTGGCATGAGAGGAACAATGGCAGAGGCAGAGAGACCAGTCATAACCGGCTATAGTAATCCAGAAGAAGTAGATGGATGGATGATAAGAAGTGGTTGGATTTTAATATTTATTTATTTATTGCTGGGCATTAATCCAAGGGTGCTGTACCATGGTGCTATAGTCTCAGACTTTTTTTTTTCCTGAGAGATAACATCTAAATATGTTGCCTAGGCTGGGCTCCCACTTGTGATTCACTAACCTCAGCCTCCCAAGTACCTGAGATCCTAGGTGTCCACCACTGCACCTTGTGAATTTTGAACATATTTAGAAGATAGAGATAGAAAGGCTTGCCAGTGGCTTGGGTATAGAGTCTCAGAGGGAGAAAAGAGCCAAGATTTTTGCCCTGAATAGCTTCTCCCATTTTTTGAGATGGGAAAGACAAGGGAAGTACTTTCTGAGAAGGAGAACTGTCTGGAGCTC